AGTTATTTTTATTGGAAAGGCGGATATACAGAGAGGAAGAGAGACGGAGAGGGACATATTCTGTCCGATGGTTCACTCCCCAAGTGTCCACAATGGCCAGACCCGAGCATTTCCGAAGCCAGGAGCCTGGCGCTTCCTCCGGGTCTCCCACACGGGTGCAGGGTCCCAAGGCTTTGGACTGTCCTCTGCTGCTTTCCCAGGCCACAGGCAGGGAGCTCGATGGAATTGGGGCCACTGGGATTAAAACCAGGGCCCCTCTCTGTAGCTCCTGTCTTATATAAACAAAAATGGTTTATGATGGATAGCTTTAATTTTTTCATTTATATTTTTGATGATGTTTTAACTAGAGGGGAAATGTGGGAGATTGTCAGATAGTAGGGTTTGAGAGGAAGAGAAGGGTTGGGGAAGAAGGCGGGAACCAGGGAATGTTGGGTAAACCAAGGAGAGATCTCAGGGCCCAGAGACAGGCTGTGGCGTTCTGGGGGCGCTGGGAGGCAGGGTTGGGCTCCGACAGACCTGGGGCTCCAGCATCCCCTGCCTCGCTCTCGGCCTCCCCAGCCCCTGCGCCTGGCGGGCCCCGTGTGCAGCGCCAGGGGCGTCCGTGGCCTGAGTGGGACAGGGCCCCCGCGGGGCAGCCAGCAGAGGTGGCGGACGCTGCTGCGGTTCCTGACCGACCACTTCTATGACGTGGAGGCTCTGAGGCAGTACCTGCTGCGGAAGCGGCTGCTCAAAGTGCAGCAGGACAATCGGTGAGCAGCCGCGGGGTCCCCTGGCCCTCCGCCTCCGTGAGCCCCCCAGCACACAGGCCGCCTGCGGGTCTGGCTGACACGGAGCCCAGCAGGGCCGGTTCCCCCCGACCGTCCTCATCCCAGCGATGGCCCTGCTGTCCTGCTTTCCAGCGCCAATTCCGAGGAGCCATTCTGGTTTCCTCTTTGCCCTCCACACCTTCCCGCCCGAGCGTTCAGCCCCCACCCCCAGCCTCCCCGGGGTCTGCAGAGCACCCAGGCCCGCTCAGGGAAGTAGCATGACTTCCTGTCACGTCGCTGACGGCCGCCAGCCATGCTGCCCCCGTCCTATCAGGGAACCCCCTGCTTGGCAGCCGCCCCAGCATGAGGCTCCAGGCGCCACTCTCCTGGCTTCACATTCCTTGTTGCCATTGAGGTGTCGCCTCAGCCTTCTCCACACCTGAACTCCCCTGACCTCCCCTAGTCGGGGCCCCTGGGGTGCTGGACAGTGCTCAGCCGGGGGCGTGTGCCCCTCAGCAGTGTCGGCCGGGTGGGGTGGACCTCCTGGGGGTCTGCAGGCCCTCACCTCCTCAGGCCCTCACCTCCGTCACCCTCTTCCCTGCAGATCCTTCACCTCCCTGGAGGAGCGCTACGGCCCGTCCGTGGCGGGCGCCTTCTTCGTCCTGAAGCAGGGAGGCGCAGTCAAGTACGGCGGCAGGTGCCGGGCGGGGTGGGGCAGGCGCGGGTCTGTGCCGAGGGGTGGTGCCCGCACCCCGCTACCCCGCTGGCCCTGACGAGACCCTGTGCCCACACATTTCATTTTCTTTCTGTATTCTTTTTATTTTTGTGAAAGGCAGTGGGAGGGGGAGGGGGAGGGAGAATCTGGTTCACTCCCCCATGGGCCTGCACTTCACCTCGGGGTGCAGGGACCCAGGCGCTTGAGACATCGTCTGCCGCTCTCCCAGGCTGTTAGCAGGGAACTGGCTCACAGGTGGCACAGCTGGGACTCAAACCAGTGCCCGTACGGGATGCCGGCGTCAGCAGAGGCAGCAGCTTAACCGGCTGTGTCAGTTAAAACTTGCATCAGGACAGCCGGTCGGCATGCCCACACCCTGGCTGGTTGGATTCCCGGCTGTTCCCATTCCAGCTTCCTGCTCGTTCAGACTCTGAAGTAATAGGGTTCCCACCACGGGCACAGACCTGGCTCAGTCCGGCCCGAGGGCGCTCAGGAGTGAACCAGCCGCCAGGCACCCCCCCTGTGTGAGCTGTCCCGACGGTGCCCACCCACAGGACCCTGCATGGCGCCTCTGGGCTGTGCTGCGGGCCCAGGCTCGCACAGCGGTGACGCGTCCAGTGAGGGAGGCTGTCGGGATCCAGCCCTCGGCGTGGGCTCACAGCCTGCCGTCACGGGTGGGCTCTCAGAGGCGGGGCCTGGGTCACGGGGGGCTGTGCTCACACCCCTTCTCCCCGCCAGGTTCCGGGACCAGGAGTGGATCCGGCCCAGCAAGCACGGCCGCTTCTCCCTGGAGTTCTTCAAGTCCCAGGACGTGTCTCTGGAGGCTGTGGATGCCAGCGGCTGTGCCATCAACTACGAGGGCATGGGCAGTCTCTGTGCGTGGGGTGCTGGCCGGGGGCGGGCCCAGGGGGACGGCCCTGTGCCACATGTCCTGTCCCCTTGCAGTGTCCCTGAGGGAGCTGCGGTCCCTGTCGCTGCAGCGCTGCCCCCACGTGGACGACTGGTGCCTCAGCCGCCTCCACCCGCTGGCCGCGTCCCTGGAGGAGCTCTCGCTGGCCGGCTGCCCTCGGGTCTCGGAGCGAGGCCTTGCCTGCCTCCACCACCTCCAGTGAGACCTGGGTTCAGGCCGGGCCCTGGGCAGTGTCCCCCACCCAGCCCAGGTGCAGGAGACATAGGGAAAGGGTCCCTGCTCCATCACAGACTGGGTGTGGGTGGTAGGTGGGCCAGGGTCAGTGAGTGGCCAGGACAATTGATGCCGGTTCCTTCATTCCTGGGACTGACGACACAGGCATGGCTGGGTGTCTGGTCAGCACGGGGCAGCTTTCACGTTCCTGGAGTGACTTAGTCACAAAGCCAGGGATTGAAATGGGTCAGAACCCCTTACCACGCACACCTGACCGCTGCCCTCACAGCGGCCTCCTGCCCTTCTCCCCGCCCTCAGGAACCTCCGCTGGCTGGACATCTCGGATCTCCCGGCTGTGTCCAGCCCGGGCCTCACGCGCATCCTGGTGGAGGAGATGCTGCCTGGCTGCCAGGTGGTGGGGGCTGACTATGCCCAGGGCCTGAGGCTGGGGCCTGAGGAGCAGCCCCGGGACGCTGCCAGCCCCATCCCTGCCTAGCCTGCAGCCCCGGCCCACCTAGGGCTCCCGGAAGGTTGCTGGGGTCCCTCAGCCTGGGCATGTGTAGGGGGTGGGCAGTGACTGGCAGATCTGAGAGAAGGCAGGCGTGAGGTTAGGGTGTCCGTTGCCCTTTGGTAGCCCCACAGAACTGCCCACACCTTCGAGGACTCCTGCTGCACACAGCAGGCGCTGCGGTGCCAAGCGCAGATGGCTGGGTGCCCGGTGTGGGCAGTTACTGCCTTGGGTTCCCAGTTCAGCTCTTCTGTGCGCTGCCTGCTGCCACCTGCACCGCTGGCTTTGTCAGTAGGGGGCGCTGGAGGACACGGGAGGACGGGCAGGTGCCAACGGGCTGTGCCCCCATGCACCTGCTGTTCCTGGGCAGCCCCCACCAAGTGGCTTCCCATGGGGCTGCTGTGGTTGGCTCTGGGCAGCACCCCCAGGAAACACCCCAGCCTTGTTCTAATTCAGTGTCATTCACATTAAACCCTCGGATGGAGCTTGTGTGGCGTTCTGACTGCATCTGTATGAACACAGCACGTACCCGAGTGCCCCGGCAGACTGACGCCTAGGCTGGGACCGGGGTTGGTGTGGTCCCACTGGCGGGCGCGGGCCTGTCCGGTGCAGTGGCTCAGAGGGAGGCACCCTTGGGGGGCAGCAGGGATGGCTCAAGGTTTTGAGTCCCTGCCACCCATGTGTGGGATGCTGATTTCCTGGCTCTGGCCTGGCTCATCTGAACTGTGCAGCTGTGTCTCCGCTGTTGGCATCACAATCCAGCTGCCACCCACGGGTCAGGTCACCCTGTCCCCAGGGTGTATGTGAGCAGGAAGCTGGAGCGGAGGGAGACTTGAACCCAGAGTGCTCAACCACTGGGTCACGTACCCGCAGGCACCGTGGAAACTTCCCCCGTCCGGCTGCTGCACGGGGGCCTTGGGTGGAGCAGATGCCAGGGCAGTCAGATCTGTGGCTCCCCCTTCACCCCGCAAACTGCCCGGCCTGTGGGGAGGGGCAGTGCAGGCCCTGGTGGAGGGCGCCCAGTGTGGTGGGCCAGAAGCTGATCCTGCCCCTGCCCCCGGGCCCTGCCCTCACTCCCAGCCCAGCTTCCAGGCCATTAGCTCTCACCACTTCCTCCCACTCCTCCCCCAGCTGTTCCCAGGGCTCCATTATTCAGACGGGAGGAAATCAGGGCTGAGCAAGCAGCTGCTGGCTGACCGGCTCCCCTCCACACACGCCAGCACAGGGCAGGGTCAGCTCCTCCCTGGTCTGCCTGCCTCCCCACCCCCGGCTGCCGCGGGTCCCCGGAGGGCGAGGGCGAGGGCCATGCCGTAAACACCGCAGACACCCTGGCTTGTCCCGGGGGGCCAGAGGTCGGTGCGCCAGTCACTGCAGCCCCGGGGGCTTGGGCACCTGGGTAGGAGTGGATTCCCACCCTGCTAGGCAGGCGGCCCAGGCCCCTCCAACCACCAGCCCGTCACCGCCTGCACCTGCCCCTTGTACAGACCCCGGCTGCCCTCCCCTCTGCTGGATCTGCCGCTGGGTTCTGACTCGTGCCTTCCATCTGCCCAGTCTCCCCCAGCGTGCCCACCCCCTGCCAGGGGAGCACTCCCTGCCTCCGTTTCCCTCCTGTCCACCTTCCTGCCCCCCACCATCCGTGGCTCGCATCTGCTCCCACTCCGCACATGCACCCGCCTCCCGGTGTGGCCCGGCGCCAGCCCGTGTCTCCCGGGCCTCGCCCTCCCGCGCACGGTCCTCCATCCTCGGCTGTGACCCCGCCTGCGCCCTTGCCGGCCGCCTCCCAGCAAACCGGCCCCAACATGCCAGCGCCCCGCCAGGCCGGCCCCGCCCCGGCTCCTCCCGGCTCCTCCCGGCCCCAGGGGCCCGGCCGCCTCCCGCGGCACCGCTCTCCCCGCCCCCGGCCGGGCTGGGCCGGGCTGAGACCCACGGCGGCGCAGGCTAGGGCCAGGGCAGAGCAGAGGCAGCAGGGCAGCGCCCGGCTGTGCTGGGGCTGGTGGGAGCTGGACCCAGAGGTAAGGGGGGTCGGACCCCTGCTCCCCCGACCCGGGTGGGGCTGCGGGAGGGAGGGAGCGTCTCTAAGACCCTGGAAGGAGCTGACGGGGGGGGGGGGCATGAATGGAGGAGATGGGAATGGCGGGCTGTCCCTGAGGGGCAGCTGGGGAGTGGGCTGTTGGGAGGCCAGGTTGGAGTGGGGGCGCCCAGGTGTGGGAACGGGAAACAGCTGGGCCGCCGGCTGCAGGAGCATTTGGGGGAGGCAGCGGCCTTGCGCCCTGCACCCTAAAGGCCCCTGTGGCTCCCTGTGGCTTCCCTGCAGCTGCCACGGGCGGGTCATGCGCTGCCCCAAGTGCCTTCTCTGCCTGTCAGCGCTGCTCACGCTCCTGGGCCTCAAGGTGTACATCGAGTGGACCTCGGAGGCCGGGCTCAGCAGGGACTCCCCGGGCCCCAGGGGCACCCTGCCAGACGCCACCTCGGCCAGCCCCGAGCCCACCCTGCCTGCCAACCTCTCCGCCCGCTTGGGCCAGCCTGGCCCGCTGTCCCCAGCTTACTGGAACCAGCAGCAGTGGCGGCTGAGGGCCCTGCCCAGTGGGGACGGCGCTGAGGCCGGGGACTGCCATGCTTGGGGGGCCGCCGCAGCTGCCCAGATTCCCGACTTCGCTTCCTACCCGGAGGACCTCCGCCGCTTCCTGCTGTCCGCGGCCTGTCGGAGCTTCCCACGGTGGCTGCCTGAAGGCGGTGTCGGCCATGTGGCCGGCTGCTCGGCCGAGGACGTCCCTTACCTGCTGCTGGCTGTCAAATCGGAGCCAGGGCGCTTTGCGGAGCGCCAGGCCGTGAGGGAGACCTGGGGCAGCCCAGCGCCTGGCATCCGGCTGCTCTTCCTGCTGGGGTCCCCGGCAGGACTGGGGGGGCCCGACCTAGGCTCGCTGGTCGCCTGGGAGAGCCATCGCCACCGTGACCTGCTGCTCTGGGACTTCCTCGACGTCCCCTTCAACCGGACGCTCAAAGACTTGCTGCTGCTGGCCTGGCTGGACCGCCACTGCCCCGACGTGGCTTTTGTGCTGCAGGTTCAGGACGATGCCTTCGTGCACA